TAGTTAGTTACGTTACTACTTACTTATAGTTAGTAGTAGTTAGTTAGTAGTAAGTAATAAGTAAGTAAGAGTAGTAGTATAGTAGTAGAGGAGGAGGAGAGAGAGAGAGAGAGAGAGAGAGAGAGAGAGGTTTCCATATATAAATCAAATTCAGGAACCTTTCTCTAGGTAGGAAATAGGGAAACTATTCTCTACAGAAATTGAAAAATAAAGTAATAGATAAAACCCATAATTTAATGAGGCATGATGATTGTCATGTTCCTTGATGTAGGGTCTCATTTCTTTGGTGGTCTAAACATGGGTAAGTGATACATTATCAGAGCTATTTTTGGATACAAATCCCTTCCAACTCGGACTTTGTCATATAGTCTAGATTTTCATGGAGCTTCAATGGATCCATGAGGCCTTAAATGTTTACTTCTTGTATGTTGACAATGAACTTAATTAGTTTGAAGAGAGGCCTAGCTCTCATGGAGATGCCTTGGGATGCAATCCTCATCGGGAGAGGGAAATCCTCATCAACCAAACATAATTGCTTTCTCTCGCTTCACACCTCATCTTCTCTCTATAACTACCCAATTCAGAATATCTACAGTTCTTTATTTTGAAATGTAACAGTCTGAGATTTTTTTGCTATTCTTAGGCTAACCCTATATACTTGAAAAATTGAACCACGGCAAATTCTATTCAGAATTTATCAAAATATTTAAACTATAGTTTTATTTATTTATTTACAGTTTGATTGTTTAAGCCAAGACCGAGGAACGTGCATACTGGAAGAGAGAGGGGTACATAGAGTGATAGGGTTTTGAGAAATTTGCAGAAATGAAGAGATAGAAAGAGATTTCAGGAGAGGAGATAATCAAGGATATAAATATATAGGAGAGATATTTAGGGAATTCTCTACAATTTCTAATGTGGGATTTGTTTAGCTAATAATTAAGAAAGAGATAGATATTTTCTATTAAATAGGGGGGGGGGAGAGGTTTCCATTTATAAATCAAATTCAGGAACCTTTCTCTAGGTTGAAATAGGGAAACTATTCTCTAGGGAAATTGAAAAATAAAATAATAGATAAAGGCCATAATTTAATGAGGCATGATGATTTTCATGTTCCTTGATGCAGGGTCTCATTTCTTTGGTGGTCTAAATATGGGTAAGTGATACATTATCAGGGTTATTTTTGGATACAAATCCTTTCCAACTCAGACTTCGTCATATAGTCTAGATTTTCAAGGAGTTGTAATGTATCCATGAGGCTTTAAATGTTTACTTCTCATATGTTGACCACGAACCTAATTAGTTTGAAGAGAGGCCAATCATCTGGCTCTAATGGAGATGCCTTGGGCTGCAATCCTCATTGAGAGAGGGAAATCCTCATCCCCAAACCTAATTGCTTTCTCTCACTTCACACCTCATCTTCTATCTATAAGTACCTAATTAAGAATATCTACAGTTCTTTATTTTGAAATGTAACAGCATTTTATTAAGGTGGAATACAACTACAAAACCAGAAAACGGGAAAAGTCAATAAGGCATCTTGATGATCCTCAAAAATTGATCTATACCAACAAGCAAGCTATAGTATTAGACAATCAATGGTTTACATTATTACACATAGACATGAACGATATCATGTTAAGTTGTTAACTATGAAAAATGTCCGACAGAATACTTATTAAGTCCCTCTTAAATGGTTCCCAAGAATATGTTATGTGATAACACAGAGAAATTGTTATCTATTTGTTTTATAAGTAACTATAATTTGTAATGTGTTATTTAAATGGACTGGGAGCAGTAGAGATGTTTAACACTTACCAAAGATGAGACTTGAAGGACGAGGATATCGATAACTACCATCTATTATGATACTTTGACCATTTATTGTTAACTTAAAGGAAACTCATCTCCTCTGGACCATGAATAGAAGGTTCACATAAGGGCGCGACCGTGGTAGACAGAGTGGTTCTGCGACAAATCTGGTCTATTTTCAGTGAGATTAATTAATGTATATAGGGTTTGGAGCTAATCAAGAATGCAGCTTTTCAGTTTCTATTAGTAGGGTTTATAGAAAGGAACACAAACGAAAAGATAAATAACATTCAAGAAACCACAAGCATTATCCCAAAAAAAGAGGCCAATGTACTTAAAATCCTGAAAAAAACCGAAAACCAAAATTTCAAGAAAATCACTGGTCTCCTCATTATTGATCTTTCCAATCAGAATGATAGAAGAACTCAAGAAGCAATTGCACGCCGAAGAAATTCAGCATTAATAAAAGAGAGAAAAATGAAATTACGTAACAACACGTATTCTTTTAAAACCAACTAGTCCATAGCTAACCATAAACAAGATGAATAAACCAAAATCATGCATACAGGACCAACGATACAACTTGAAATGCAAATATAACAGTAATATAGAAAACAATTAACAACTACAGTAGCATCATTCCTCTTAATTTCATTACTTCAACGCATTATTGATCAGAAAAGCAATCAAATCGATGAAAAAAAAAACTCATAAAACAAATGAATAACTGAAAAAAGAAACCACCAACTCAAATCTACCATATTTCTCAAGAGAGAGAGTGAGAGAGAGAGAGATAGAGAGAGGAGCCTACCTGTATACTGAAATCACCATCCATGGAAACATTATGTGATTCCTGTCCATCGAAAGGCATGAAATCAACTGTTGATATTCCACCTTCAAGCATCATCTGGCGCTCTCGATGGTCGAGATCAGAGGCGAGGGCAGCCAAATCGAGCTCTGAGAAGAAGGGGCCCTGTAAAACTGTGTTCACACAATGGACAGCGCAGAGCTTTGATTCCTGGACCTCGTGATAGAGCATCCCACCATTGCTGAGACCTTCCATCTCTTCCCTATTTGTGAATCTAAGGGACCCCACAAATAGTTCCTTTGAGTGAGAGAGACAGAGATAAATGGGGGTGGTTCTATATGTGAAAAAGAGGTTATGAAAAATTGGATCCTTAGGGAAAAAAAAAACAAGCGAAAATTCCAGATTTGATCTTCAACAAAGAAAGAAAAAACAGGAAGGGTTAGAGAGAGAGAGGTTTCTTGAAACAAGTTGATAGAGAGAAGAGACGTTGGGAAAGAGCTAATGGTTAAGCATGAGGAGGAATTTATAGGTTATAACAGAGACGCAACCATGGATGAGAGAGAGAGAGGCTTTTCTTAGTTGGGTTTTAGAGAGAGAGATTCTAGAGAGAGAGAGGGGGACTTTCCCTCTTTTGTCGCGTGGGACGGGGAGGACTTTTCCCTCGTCTCGTTTCGTGTGTAGAGACGGAGGAGTCAGCGGGAAGAAGTTGTGTTATATGCCTGCGGGAGTAAATTGTACGTTTGTAGTCTCTGGTGAGAGTTTGAGACGAACCTTGCACACACCCTTTGGGCACGTATGCTATGTTGCCTCGGGAGCATAATGTAGATCTACTCCCTCGGCAAGTAGACGTATTTAGGATTTTTTTTTTTTTTTCAATGAAACCATCTAAGGACCACTTGGACGATTATTTTCGAATAAAAAAATAAAATTAAAATTTTGAATTTTTTATCCCTTTAATCTCCCTCTTTAAAAGTTGGTGGTCTCTATTAGTGGTTTGTACAAGGTTGCAACTTAGACAATCAAATTAAGCGTGCACTTCCAAATTTTATCATAAAAATAACTTTAGCGTAAAACATTTTTAGGATGGATTGAGAATTTATTTTTATCTTTAATTATAAAATTTTAAAGTCCAAAAATACTTCAAATCAAATAGATCTATAAATATTTAAAAATCTTGAAAATGGACGGTTTAGATAATGTATTGCAAGATACACTATTTTTAGGACTCAAATTTTTTTTTTCTTTTCATATTCATGTATCTTGATGTCAAGATGATCAATTAGAGGGTTTTCTAATATCAAAACAACATTTTATGACAGATTTTTTACTATATTTTAAGGTTGCAACCTTATATAAATTTTTTCCCTATTCGATCTTGAGAAATTATTTTTTTAAGGGCATAGATAGAGCAATTTGCAAAAAAGAAAATATTGAAGTTAGTCGATGGATTGAAGTGGTTACTACCCCACAATTTAGGGTTCTAAAATAACTCCTATATTTGATTTTACCCAAGGGAGTACATGGACATAATGCTCTAGTGAGAGTACCAAATCTTTCAGTTTTTTGTGAAAAAACAATGTGAAGCCTCACCTCAAAATCTTGCCCATAAAACACAAAGGGTATGGAAAATCCTTAAAAAAGACTCTAAAATCTATTTTCACCTCTAATTATAAAATTTATAGAACATAAAATATTATAGATCTTGTGGGTATGTGGGCACTTGAAAATGGATAATATAGATAATGCCTTATAATATATATTGTTTTTAGGGGTTAAATTATATATTACGTAGAGCTGCACCTCATATCTTGTCAAGAAATATTGTTCATACCCTAAAAAACTGCATTATGGCTTGAAAATTTATTTCTGCCTTTAAATGTGAAACTTTAAAAAGTTTCAAGAACTGTTCAAATTTGATGAATCTAGGAAAACATGAAATGAATTGATGAAATAATGTGTTGCAAGAGATATATTATTTTTAGGGTTTGAAATCCTTTTATTTTCATATCTACAATTTTCAATGTTAAAGATGATCGTTTTGATGGTTTGTGGCAAAAAAAAACTTTTCCAAAAATATATAAGGTGAAAATTTAAAAAGCTGTGGCATTTTCTATAGGGACTATATACTATATCTCTGCTACAAATAGGTCACAATTGCCACAAGCCATTAGATGTCAAATTGGATGGCTTGGGATATGATATAGAGTTTAATAATTTTTTTTAGAACTTTGAGTATAGCCAATGGCATATTTACACCCACCCGATTTAAAATTCGATGAACATTATTTGTTGTGACATCTTTGTATTAAAAGTAAATTACCTCTTTATATATTTTCTTTAGAAAAGCACTTGTATTAAAAAAAGCAACAAGAATTCCAAAAACTATCAAGTCTTTATTTATAGGAAAAACTTATAATCCTATAAAAGAAAAATATTTAGGACATAAATAAAAATAGAATTTTATTAAAATATACAAATTTGTTAGTTATTAAAAATTTATTCATTTTCAGCTATTCAAATTCATAGTCATGTGTGTTTGGTTTTTGAAATTAAATAAAAAATATAGTAACAAATTAAATAATTCATCTCTTTCTGTTAACGGGTTGCGGTTTTAGTGGTAGTACTATCGAGCCTATGAATGAAATCTCGGGCTCTATTCTCACCAAAAGGGTAGGGGACTAAAATCCCCATACACCAAAAAAAAAAAAAAAATCTCTTTCCAAATAAAAATCACATGTAAGATAGAATCAATAAAATCGATAGCATTTCATGCGCACATAAAAGTTTTAATATGTATAATATAGTTTTTTTATTTTATTGTTTGTGCTAACTTTTGGTTTTTGGGTTGGTGGCTTAGATGAATAAATTGCATCCGGAATCCAATAAAGTGGCCTCCTAGTTTGTGCCGTATGGAGTGCAAACTTACACTTTACTCCCGCGGGTATATGTAATATTCATCGTGAGGGTTTTGCAAAGGCCGGGGTCCGGGCCGCGAGGAGCCAGTTTGCTGGTTTCGGGTTGTTCATGGCACGTGGCGCCTTTTATTTGGGGAGAGGTTGCATAAGGTGTCAACCTTGTACTGTTGAAGTAAGGTGTACCTCAAAAACTAGAACAATAAGCTGCAAAGCCTTGATATGAATATCTGGCATATGGATAAGCACATAAAAATATTGAAAATGGACGGTCCATATAATGTGTTAGAAGGTGAATTATTTTTAAGGTTAAAAATTTTTTATTTTTATTTTTATGAATTTTAAGGTCGAGATAATCGATTTGGGATTTTTTAAACTTAACAACAACCTCTAGTGGGTTTTTTAGGTGCACTTTAATTGTATAGTATAAGGTTGACACGATATAAACCGTTTCCTTTTGACTGTGACTTGAGGAAGGAACAATTTATCGTTTTCAAATTCTAAAAAGTTCATATAAAGTTGCAATTTTATGCTTCTCAAGTAGGGTGCACTTCAAAAATCCCCTAGAAGAGAGTAATCCAAGGGCGGATAACGTTCTATTTAATCATCTCGACCTCAAAATGCATGAATAGGAATAAAAACAAAAAACAAATTTCAAATCATAAAAATAGAATGATTTGTAATAAGTTATCTAAAATGTCTATTTTCAAGTGTTTATAGATACATTTGATTTGTACTACTTTTAAAATTTGAAATTTCATAATTGGGACAAAAATGGATTTTCAAACTATCATAAGATTTTTGACCCCACGGACCCAGACTGGACCCGTTTGCATAGGCAATCCGGCATTTTGTGGGCACGGTCCGACAATTTGCATACTATAATGAAATCACTCCGGCGTTTTGATGCAGTTGTCCAGTAGTGTATGTGTGCGGTCCGACGATATGTTTACTGTAATGTGGGTAGTCCAACGACTTGAAGTAGTGCTCCAGCAATTTACTTACTGGAATGGGGTCAGTCTGGCATTTGCAATGTGCGGTCTGGCATGTGTTTCTAGAATGATGTTAAGTTCGGTGTTTCATAGCTTCGCTCCGGCATTATGGTTGATCTATCCGGCACTAGGAGGATGCAGTTTGGCAATATCTTACTTGCGGTCCGATGTTACAGAACTTCGCTCCGGTGATTTTACTACTGGAGACGTAAGTCCCGCATTTCATGGTTTTAGTCCGGTGTTTTAGATACATGAGTAGGGTGGTTCGGCATTAGTAGTCTACGGTCTGGCATATCATTGTCTAAATAAGCAGTTCGGTATTGTAAAAATGCAGTCCAGCATAGGTTGTAAGTCCGGCAAATAACAATCACGGTCTAACGAAAGTATTATTGGGATCCGTCCAAATGATTTGTTTGTACGATAAAGGTACAGGAAGGGTATTTCCATAAAAAAAGATGTCACTTTTTTAGTTTGCAGTATTAATTAGAAAAGATGATTTTTGAGAAAAAGAAGTTGAAAAAGTTTAAGTATGGGGTTAGAGTCTCTAGAAAGAATATTTTAAAAAGTTTTGCAAGTTTTCCTTATACTTATCCAAAAATTTTGAACCACCGACAAAATAAAAGATATACCCAAGAAACAAATACGCGATCCTACTACTATTGAAAAAGAGCAAATTCTTGTCTAACATGAGGCCTATTATGTCCGCAATCACTTGTTGGACGTGCACATTACCAAAATCCTGGGCAACTATCTCAATGCCTCAAACCCAGCGAGCCCTCTCTTCCCGTTATTTCTCTTCTCTCTCATGCTCTCTCTTTCGTCTCTTTAATCCGGAGTATCTCTCTCCGTGGACATGTTGGTTTAATCGCACACATATAGGTTTAATGAATTTATTTTATTATGGGAAAATTACTAGAAGCCCATTTTTTATTTATTGGTAAGTTCTCTCTCATTCTACTAAAGAAAAGAAACCACTTTCCTGGTCGGTCGGTCATAAATAAGGGAACGAGTGCAAGTTGTCTCACTGCCCGCTCCTTCAAAATCCAACGCCGAGATTCAATTCGAACGGCCAGTGTGGCTTGGCTGATCATGCTTGGCAGACCAGCGTCCCATACTTCATGGTGGGCAAAGGTCTATAGTAGTTTCCTTACCACCATGGTAGCATGAGTGTTCGCCTTTAAACCAAAGTTCCATTAATGACGTATTAGGATTTTGGGGATAAAATAAACCCAAAACGTGTGAACGGCGGATTAAGGTTTTTGGTTAACATATGAATGTTCTTTTTTTTTCCTGAATTTGTTTTTGGTATTATATGATTCGATTTTTCCTTTTGAATTTGTTTTTTTTTTTTCTCTGCTATTGTTCCATGTTAATTATTTGTTTGAATGGTGTTCTTTCTGTGTACCCAGTGGCCAAAAATATCACAAATCCTTTCTCACCCTATGGAACTCTAAGCAGAGGTTTGGGTACCAAGAAATATATTACATGATAAATAGATTACAAGGAAATATGAGACTTTAAATGTGCAAATAAAGGCAATAAAATTTGCCTCCTTAAGGCTTTGAAGAATGCCCCTTACTTCCGTAGTTCTTACATTTATAGTCCTCAGTAGTTTTGATAACTTAACAACAGATCCATCATCATATCTGCAAGGAAGATTTCAATCAAATGAAAATGGTGGAAAATTTAATTGGTATTAGAATGAGAAGCACTGGAACTCTTAACATTAGCCTCTCTCTACACCCAAAGTTTCCCTTCTTTTATTTTGTTTCTGGTGTAAAGCTTCTTTAACCAACTTGTTATTGATAAATTTTCCCATATTCAATTGCAGCTTTGTCCCAATCAATCTGCAACTCTCTAATGTTCTGAAGTGAAATTTTGGTCCTGCTCTTGTGAGTTGTGACTCGGCTACTACTAATCAACTAGGTTAGGATTTAGGAATACACAATGGATGGAGGGAATCATAATATTTCTCATATCCTTGGTAACATTCTACTGTCAGCAATGAATCTTTAGGGTCAGGATCAGTGTTCAACTACTCGGGCGAGCCAACCAGGACTCGCCGGAGCAACTCATCTCTCTATCTTGGTGAGCCCGAGTATCCGAGTTTCGTGGTCAAGCTCATCTTCAAAAAAATAAAAAACATATATAAAAAAATTCAAAAAAAGAAAGTTTTTTTGTTATGTTTTATACTTTTATGTGATTCTGGCAAGGGAAGTGTTTCGGCCATGAATATTCATTTTTACAATTTTCCTTCGTTTTGGATTCTTTCTAAAAATACCCTCAATCACAAATTGATTATTTTAAAATCCATATATTCATACTTTTTTGACCTCATTAAATGTGTTTTGTTAAATTTTACTTTAAACATATATTTTATATATGTTTAGATTTCTTTTTATTTTTAACATTTTTTGGCCTGGCCAACTCAAGCTGAGTTACTCGGACACGGCCCATCCCAAGGTCGGGTTCTAGGGCCGAGTCGTGGTTTCCTACACTGGTCAGGATACCTGCAAATTGCTTCTTGCCTACTGTTAGTCTTCATTATATAGCCACAATGTTAGCATAATAACAAACAACGAATTAAAATACATCTAATTCAAATGCTAATGCACATGGAACAGAGCAAACCCTTTTGCATTCAAGAGTTTAGTTATGCTGGCTTTGCTGTCCTGCAGTTGGACCCCTCCTTATAAACTTTATCTTTTCTTTTATACACATTGTAGTGACTTAAAAAAAAAAAAATACAGCGAAAAAGAAAAATGAAGAGTAAATTTAAATGGATGAAAATGGCGGATCAACGACCTCCAGATAACAGGATTGCAGTGTCTGCAGAAGAGCTGCTTGAGGGGTCATGACGGTAAGACGTCTCCAGGAACGAATACTGGTCGTTTTTCTTCTCTTGTACAACCATTTTGGTGACTGAAATCTCAGGGAATGGGACATCACCATCCAAATACTGGTACACTTGCTTCATACTTGGCCTGAGAGTAGGCACTGGGTGAGAACACCACAAGCCTAACCTCAACACCATTGTGATCTCCCCAATATCAAAGCAACCTTCAAGCCTGGGGTCAACAACATCCAAGAGCTTTCCTCCCTTAATGCACTCCCACACCCAATCAACCAGAATGATCTCTTCCGGCGGCCTCTGTCCATCAATTGGCCGACGCCCGCAAGCCACCTCTAGTAACACAGCACCATAAGAGAAGACATCAGACTCAGTGGTGGCCTTGCCAGTGCGGGACATCTCGGGTGCCAGGTACCCAAATGTCCCCACAACACGGGTAGTTTGCGAGTCCGATCCATGCTCATATAACCGTGCTAGCCCGAAGTCACCCAGCCGAGCATTCATCTCCGCATCTAACAGAACGTTGCCGGCCTTCACGTCTCTGTGTATAACTACTTGCTCCCATTGCTCATGTAGGTACAATAGTGCTGAAGCAACACCCTTGAGGATTTTATGCCGCTGCTTCCAGCCTAAGGGCGGCTTATCGTCATTGAAAAGGTACTTGTCGAGACTACCGTGGGGCATGTACTCGTAAACTATGATGAGGTCGGCTCTCTGTTTGCACCATCCGAGGAGTGGTACCAGGTTCCGGTGTCGTAGTTTGCCGATGCTCGAGACCTCTGCCAGGAATTCTCTTACCCTGTGCTCTGATTCCTGTGCGACTTGCTTCACCGCGACTTGCAGACCCGAGTCCGGCATCACACCTTTGTAAACCTTCCCAAAGCCTCCGAATCCTATTAGCTCTTCATCTCTGAAACCGTTTGTGGCCATAGAGATTTCCTTGTATGAGAACCTATGGGGACCATATTCCAACTCCCAATCTTCCACAATTTCCTCATATGTTCCCCTTCGAACAATGAATAAAATCACAGAAATGGCTGCAATGGCAACAATTATCGAAGACAGGGAGATCCCAATCATAGAAACCATGGAAAGCCCCTTAGATGATGATTTGGATCTCGGGTACCAAGGAAGTTTAGAGGTATCCAAATCTCGAGCTCTGCCATTTATCGCGAAGCTCCACTCCAGAATGGAATGGTAGCTCGCCACTATGCCTGTGCTTGCAGAGAAGCCCACGTACATGAACTCCTGTAGGGTTGGGGAGAGATCGACCCCGTAAGAAATCAAAGGCTGCCCAGTCCTTCCTGCTATTCCGATAGGAGACAGAGTTACATTCAGCAGCTTCTCTGTACCATCATATTCTATCCATACCTGAATTGGGTCTTCACTCGTGAGACTTAGATTATGTATGGTGGTCTTATTATTCTCTGTGAGGTAATAGGCCGCATGAGCGGATACATTCGATCTGACGCTATTGAGGTCGATGCCCACATGGTTACTATCGATGTCGCCTACATCGATGTTCCGGAGGGTGTCGAATTCCACTGCAAAAACTTGGTTTTGGGGGTCACCATTGCCTGTGAGGCCAAAGAGTCCGAGGTACTGAGCCGAATCGGCTTCTTCGAAGTGAGTAGTAGGAGAGATCACAAAGGCAAGGCCAGAACCTGGGAAGACAAGGGGAACGGTGATAGCAAACACAAAAGCTGTGGAGAAAGAGAAAGCACTTCCATTTGAGGAATTCTTGAATTGCAAGAGGTTGGAGTAAAAAGCATGACCTATCAGTGGTTGAGAATTATTGGTTAACTGTAAGACTCCACTACCTGTGATCTCTGAAACACCATTTAAGCTCATGTTTGCTCCATGGAAGCTCGAGTAGTTGAAGGCAATGTCATATGAGGAAGAGAGGTTCATTGCAAGAAAGAGGAGCAGAGCTTGGAGCAACATCTTTGTTTCTTTTGGCCACAGAGAAGAAGCTCGGAGATGCAAAAAATGCTGGTTTTGTTCAGGTCGGAAGAAAGAAGGCTATGGCGAAAAGAGGATCATATTGCTTTGACTTTATGAGTCGTTGCCCAATAGATTTCCCACTCCAGCGGAAGTATACTATCCATGTACTCCCTCGGGCATAACGCATGCTAGGAATATTTTTTTTGGAGATGCAATCTCTACAACCCATATAGGTAAAAAAATGTTTTCTCAAATAAATTTTCTGTGTAATAGAAAAAATTAATTCCTCAAGATTATATTGAGACCGTCCAATTTTTGTAAGGGCTATATCTAAGTGTGACAACACTCAAAATTCAAATTTTTTCTTTTGAAAATAATCATCTAGTAATTTTTATGTGGTTTCCAAAATTTTAGACTAAAATAATCTTCCTATTAGGTATTTTGTATGAGGGTATAAATTCATAGTATGATCCTGCGGGAGTGTGGTATACGTGCTCTAATTTGTTTGCTACTTAAGTTTCATGATTAGGTGCGGTTTGTATAGAGCTGAGGTTCTAAAGATTAGAGTAAAGCGCACCTTCAAATAGTACCTCGAAATATGGTTTTAATATTGAAAATCTTTGTAATAGCTTTAAAATATATTTTTTATTTTTAATTATAAAATTTAAAGCTTTAAAAATAATGTGGACAGAGCAGATCTATAAAAATTAAAAAACCTTGAAAATTGACGGTCCAAAAATCTATTACAAGATGCACTATTTCCAAAATTTGAAATCCATTTTTTTTCATGTCCATGCATGTCGATGTCAAGATGATCAATTTGAGAATATTTGGGCATCAAAATAAAACTTCTTCTAGTGAAATTTTTCAAGTGGGCTCTAATTTGATTGGGTAGAGCCTCACCTCTATATAGAGTTCAATTTTTTTCCACACGATTTCTTACTCCTACTATCCATTTACTCCCTCGAGCATAAGGAGGAATATTTTTTAGATCTCTGATTTTTGGGGATTTAATCTATATAATCCATATAATAATAATATCAGTAAAAACAATATTTTCCAAAATAAGCTTTCTATGTAGTAGAAAAAAATGACGCCTCAAGATTGAATAGAGACCGTCCAATTTTTTAAAGCCAAGATCTAAGTTTTACAAAACTCGAAATTCCAAATTTTAACATTGAAATAATCATCTAGTAATTATTATGTAGTTCTCAAAATTTTTGACTAAAATAATCTTCCTAAATAGGTAATTTGCTCGAGGGCGTAAATGCACAGTATGATCTAGCAGGAGTATAGTATACTGCTCTCATGTTTTGCTTTTTATAACCATTGCAGAAAACAGTGAAAAAGTACCAGTGAGCATGACACACAAGTGAATTATAATAGGGCAGGGCGGTGGAGACTCTAAAGTTGCAGTCTTTGAAAGTGATCCCACGGGGACCACGCTAATAATCTTATTCATGCTGGCGTTTGCATTGGGGAATTCTAGGGAAATTGCCACGTGTTTGCCGGAATGGCTCTCAATTGAGAAAAGAAAAGAGCATATATGTTGTGCTCCCTCGGGATCATACTATATGTTTACTCCCACATTCTCTACTCTGTGTTCTTTATTTAATTTTTATTTTTTTATTTTTTTAATTTCTTTCCTGAGGTTAAATCATTTTGTTGCTATACAGTTCCTTATTCTTAGCTGTCTGACCCTGAGAATGCTCGACTACATTGCTAATGCATGAAACATAGACTTTCAGCTGCAAATGGGTCATTCGGATGATCATTGAGCGTTGATCTCATCTTCCAACGCTTCTAGAGGAACACATTTGTATTTCACACTCTTTGGACTATTCAGCAGAGGATTTTCTTTATTTCTTTGACTTTTCAACGGTAGACATATCACTTTCCGTGTCACTATCTTAGGTTTTTTTTTTTTTTGGGTATGTCGCTATCTTAGGGTTTCACAATGGGGGAGAAGATAAATGCAATAATAATAAAAGAAAAAATATTTATATATAGCCGATGCTTTAAATAAAAGATTGAAAATTCACCGAGTCAAACCGGAGTCGCCTGCGGGGTTTTTGAACACCCCGTGTTAAAAGACGTAGATGCGGCCGTATCTAAAGAGAGTCGCCGAGTTAAAACATTGGTCATGTCTCTCTCACGCATTGAATTTTCTTACTAATTTGATGCATTCTCTACCTTTTAGAGGTAGAATTATTTCTCAATGAGAAAGAGGTGGGACTAATTTCAGTTTCCCCTTGTGAACACTTATTGACATAAACATTGCAGCTTATATCTTATACTTTACAAAATACTAGGATATATGATATGTATTTATTTATTTTTATTTTTTATTCTAAATTTTGACATTATTAGTTTGTATTATTAGGTGAAAATATTTTATTGAATAATTTTGTAAGGCCATAATATTCACATTTATAAGGGAATTTTTTTTATTTTTATCGTACGATATGGAAGTGTTTTTTAATATTTTCTGAATCATAGTTGTTATAATATTATAAATAATTATTATACATTGATAATCAAATCTTGTATTTTATTTATTAATTTTTTTGTGTTATAAAGTATTATAATATATTATTTTTTTTATAACAGTAAAATAATTTGTTTGTATTATTAATTTATTGTAGTCCATGTATGATTATATATTTCATCCATGATAATTCAATGTTTCTTCTTTTGTGTGATATAAATTTAAGGGTTAACAGTAATTCGTACGGGGAAATAACATCTCAATATTCGCATATTGATGCAAAAAAAATGAAAATTCTTAATAGAGTACCCAAATTTCTTATTGGATTCCTAAAAAACAACATTTATAATGATTTTAATAAATTTTTTGGATTTTTTTTAATGCTTAATCCTACCAATTCGGCCGATTCTCGATCCGAATTGTCGATTCACCGATCCGGATGGGTTTTTGGGGTGCCCAATTCGGGCACCGATCCATTTTTTAAACCGCTGCTCTAAACAATCAAATTAGAGCGCACCTCAAAACTTCTACTAGAAAAGGTTGTTCTGATGCCAAAATATCCTCAAATTGGTCATCTGGACATCAAGGTGCATGGGCATGAGAACAAAATAGATTTTAAGTTTTGGAATAGTGCATCTTGCAATGCATTTTTGGACGGCCAATTTTTAAGATTTTCAAGTTTTCATAGATCTACTTGATCTACAATATTTTTGAAGCTTTAAATTTTACAATTAGAGATGAAAATATATTTTAAGGCTATCACAAAGATTTATAGTATTAAAACCACATTTCTCGATACTATTTGAAGATACGCTATACTTTATTTTTTTAGAACCTCGACTCTATACAAACCGCACCCATAATAAAATAAGCGAGACGGGAAATGATCTAATGCAATGGTTGTATAGTAGTATAATGCAACCACACCTCCATAAAACCATATTTTTGGCATTTGTATGACCTTAAATTTTGCATGCACATTTTCTTCATCTTCATAATCAATCCTACAAAGAAAAAAAGTTCAATTTACACCCTAGATCTGGTCAAAATTAGTACCTATCCAACAATGAATCTCGACCGTCCATTTAGTGCATTTCAAGATCTAGTCCTTAATAAATTCAAAATCACTTTTTTCTGTTTTAGCGTTATTAATCTAATGATGATAAAGTTATATAAAAATTTTGGGAATAAAAAATTCCTTTTGAGGCCTATATCTAACCATCTCAATAAAATAGACGGCTTATATTAATTGGGCTAGAATGAAACTTTCTAGAGCATTTGTTCAAAATTTTCTTTTTTGTGATTGTTCTTCAGAATGAAAAGAGTCTACAATTAAAATTTTGTGTCAAACAAATGTCTTTAATATGGTTTTTGAAGATAATTGCATTATACTACTATACAACCGTTACATGAAATCATTCCCTAAGGGAGACAGTTTGCTTTTTTATGCACTATTGCATTTCCTATTAAAAAATAAAATAAGATATAAAAAAAATGCTGTAGTAAATTTATGCACTGATTTATTTTGTTTCCAGTTGAATGTTGTATTTCTTATTAAAATACGTAAATAAAGGGGAAAAACCAAGGTAAACTTGTGCTGCACTGTTGTTGATTCAACATAATCCAAAAATTATTTGTTCTTCCACGTCAATATTTTCGGTATTAAAACGGACAAGGGAAAAAACACACATAGAGCGCCTAAATATTATCGCTTTGCTCTTTTCTTTTCTTTTTTTAATTGTTGCTGATATTTGAATGCAATTGATGTATTTATTGCCTTGGTATGATATATAGACATTGATTTATCTTGTATGTAATATATAAGTTCGAATGTTGCATATTGATTGTACAAGCATAAAACTCTAATCATGGACTGCTGAGTTTTGTATTCTTTATACATGAAATTTTATTTCATAACATTTGCATATGAAAGCTTAATGTGATATTCATCAATTACATATTTTCTAGCCAAAGTTCTTACCATTGATTTAAACAATTAACTGTTTTTACAGGCATAAACCACATATTTTATTATTTTTGGTTTCGTTTCTACTCAGTTTCTTTGACAATCTCATTTTGCTGCGAACCTAGAAACTATTTGGGTTGCTCAAACATAACTTTGTAAGTCGAATGGCTAGTAGAATTACATAAATGGGGCAAACCTTGGCATTTGGATGAGGAAGAAAAAATATATCCTCATCCAATACATAATTTTATATATACTAAAGGAAAATCCACCAACAGTTGGTGATAAACCAACTGAAGAAGAAAAAAAAAAGTTGGAAAATTTCTTATAAGATAGACATATAGCTAAAACATCAATATTAACTTTTATGCAAGATGACCTTATTAAGGTATTTGAACATCACAAAATATCTAAAAAATTACAAAATGCAATAAAAGTAGAATATGGCAACTCTTAAACTCACATCCAATTGCTATTAGAGCAATATAACTCATTTAAAATGAAAGAGGACGATAATGTAGTAGAGTATGTAAACAAAATGCTTATTATGACTACGGACATAGCCATGGTTGGGAATGAAGTTCCCGAGCGTATGCGAGTTTTCACAATCTTTAATAGCCTTTTATCTTTATGGAACAATTA